TGAAAAAGGTAAAAATCTATTCTTCAAAGGGCAATGACTTTCTACCTGTGGGGAAAAAAGTAAACTTCAGAAGAAAATTCTGAGAGAGGAATTTAGAGATGTTTCAAATAAAAGCAATATAGTCTCACTGAAACTGAAATTTTGCCTTCCAGTTCTACTACAAAAGGAAGAGTGGCACATGTGGCACCTGGTCAGGATGGACTCACTAAAGGATTTAACCCAGACTTCTGATGAACAAATATTGCTGCTACATTAACTGATTCACAACAAAGAAATAAAATATCATCCCGTTGATTTTATTATTTAAACATGGGCTCAATCTTAAATGTGACAAACCAAGAAATAAATATGTCTGAAAAGTAAACAGTAAATGGCCAAATGGTATGGCTGAGGCATCTGTAGTGAACTCATGCTGCTTCCTGGAGATCACTGCATTCTTTTCTGGGCTCAGTAATCTACCTAAACTATGTCAGAGATTTGTCTGAGATTTACTTTCCTGTCTTTTCTGGCTCAGATTATTTCTTTATTTAGAAAATCAGAACATTTGCTTGTTTTTAGGGCTCAAGTACCTCTTCTCATCTCTATAATGTCTCCAAATGTCTCAGAGGATTCCTAATAGTATCTGTATTTCTTGCATATTATGGTGTAATTTATCTGTGTCTAGAGATCCGAAGTCAGGCAAAGTAGTTAAGGTACTCTTTCTTCTTACTTACATATCTTAAGACACAGTTCTCTGTCCTTGTGGTTTGTCTGACCCTCTTGGGTTCCTGTTATGCTTCCATTTGTACCAGAAAACACTGGAAATCAAGTGAAATTAAGTGTAAAAGTCAGAACTAGAAAAGCTTTTAGATCAAGTCCAGATAAAGAAATGAGAGGGATTTAATCTGCCCTCTTCCTTACTAAGACAAGTACATGAGGCTAGATCCAAGATAAAACTATGATTCAATTGAATCACTAACTCCCCTTGTTCTGAGTCTATGCTTATGTGCAGCAGACTTTTGATAGTAATTTCACTTTCTATATAGATCTGCCTGTAGATAAAAATATATATACTTATCGGAAGATCTGAGACCCTAGTTATAAGTTAATAGATGAACTTCCTGGTTTATACCTCAGAGCTTGTTAGTGGATGTTCATCTGAGAGAAGGAGGGGATAGGAGAGAGGGAGAGATCATCCACTACCATTATGCTGCTGAATCAGGTTCCTGAGGGATAGTGCCTGGAACATGGAGATCACACCAGGGTACTATCCCTTCGAGGCCTCTTTTGGCACCTAGCAACCCTTCTCCATAGTGTACCTTGACTCCATCTTGTTGCTAGTTGTCCACAAATGCCTGCTTCGTGAGACAGTCCACCTCTTGGTTCATAAGGCCAGTCATAAACACAGACACTTCTCAAGAGGCTGTTACTGAACAATAGGTTTCTTTCTTGTTTTTGTTTTTTTTGTTTTGCTTTGTTTTGTTTTGTTGTGTTGTGTTGTGTTGTTTTGAGACAGAGTCTCGCTCTTTTGCCCAGATTGGAGTGCAGTGGCACGATCTTGGCTCACTACAACCTTCACCTCCTGGGTTCAAGCAATTCTCCTGCCTCAGCCTCCCGAGTACCTGGGATTACAGGCGCCCTCCACCACATCGAGCTAATTTTTTTTTTTTTTTGTATTTTCGGTAGAGACAGAGTTTCACCATGTTGATCTGGCTGGTTTTGAACTCCTGACCTCAAGTGGTCTGACCCTCCTTGGCCTCCCAAAGTGCCAGAATTACAGGTGTGAGCCACCGTACCCCATTGGTCTTTTCTTCCTAGAGGCAAAATGCTGAATCCTTCCACCTGTTAACCCTGTAAATCTTGTGAAATACTCCTTGGAACAAAGACTGTTGTTTCTTCTTTAGATGTATGACATGAAAATCTATTTTTATAGCCTTGCAGTGAAATATACAGCTATGTGGAAAGCTTCAGGAATAAAAAAAAATTATGATAGACTTCATTTAAAACTTTTTAGGAATTCTTTAAATAATGATAACTAATTGGAGAATTTGATACATGTTTCAAGGCTGAAACCTGGGCCTTTACAGCAACCAGAAAACAGACTGAAAATGCCTAAAAGCTCTAACACCCACTAAAAAAAATGCTTCAAAATTATACTTATTGAAAAATACTATTTGGAACTATATCATGAAGGAATCATCAGAAAATAAAGTAGCTTGGCAATTTTTAGTTACTCTCCAACTAAAAACATCTGTTTAATGAACTTTGAAATGATTTCGTATTTGTGTTTAAAAAATTTGCATCTCTATCTAGGTTGACAGCTTAAATACCTGGCTCTAGCCAAACAAAATCTGAAGTGACTAAGGCATTGCTTCTTAAATAAGAGCAAGTTGGAACTGCCATCTCAAATCACTACCATGTCTTCTGGCAAGACAAGATTAGCACTTACACTCACATCTGATGAGGGAGTCACCTCAAGCTTGTAAACAGCCAGTTTGGATTACCCAGCAAGGGCAGGGTGAAACCAGCAAAGGGTTCCCAGGCCTCTGTTCTTTAGCCAGCCTGTATAGAATGGAGAATTTTGAAGAGGTGATGTGTTCAACACTTGGATACATTTAAGAAGACAGCTTGAGTCTAGTTTCTTTTGTCTCTAGGCCAGCTCAGAATAACCAGGCACATACCCTCACTGACCTCTAAAGGTAACACTGTTAAAGTGAGAGTCTTTTTTTTTTTTTGAGAGAGAGTCTTGCTCTGTTGCCATGTTGGTGTGCAGTGGCGCAATCTCAGCTCACTGCAACTTCCGCCTCCTGGGTTCAAGAGATTCTTCCGCCTCAGCCTTCTGAGTAGCTGGGACTACAGGCGCGTGCCACCACACCCCGCTAATTTTTGTATTTTTAGTAGAGACGGGGTTTCATCATGGCAAGGATGGTCTCGATCTCTTGACCTTGTGATCTGCCCGCCTCCACCTCCCAAAGTGCTGGGATTAGAGGCGTGAGCCACCACGCCCGGCCAAAGTGAGAGTCTTACTGGCTCTTGCTTGACATCTCTTTGTCTCTTTCTGCTACCCGACTTTGGTTCTGCTTCTGGCCCTTTGGAATTGGTGTTTGAACTTAGTCTCTGTTCTTTAGGTCCTGGATTTTCCTAACAGATTCCAATTGGGTTTATCTTGCTTTTTGTGTCTATGGCTGACTATGAGCTAGACTACCCTCATTCTTGCTTTTCTGAGGCTAACTTTCAGCATACTCCACTTAGCTGGCTGGTTCTTCTCTGTGTCTGTAAGAGTACATGTGAGTGTTTGGTGGGGAGTGGAATAGGATGTATGCTCAATTTGAATCGTCACTCACTAAAATGTGAGAGAGAGAGAGAGAGAGAGAGAGAAAGAAAGAGAGAGAGATATCTAACCATGGGGAGTAGGAAGTAATGCAATTGCTTCTCCATATTGACCATCCTTAATTAGGTATTTAGTTCCCTCCCAAGTATTTTTTCTCAGCCCTCAGATCCTGCTGCCACCTGGTGCTAAAATGTTCCAAGTAGTGATGACTAAATAGTTTGACAAACTCCAGAAAGTATCACCTAGATTCAGAGATAACACATACTGATTAGGAGGCTGAATATTTAACGTAATAAATAAAAGATATAACATTTAAAAAATAACAATAGCTTAGCATAATAAATAATGTGTTATACCTATGAACTAATATATAAGATGTAATAATAGCAAATTACTGTGTGGTTCTGAGATATCACCATCTCTTAGAAGTATGGTCCATGTCAGGGTTGGGCATGGTGGCTCACACTTGTAATCCCAGCACTTTGGGAGGCTAAGATGGGCAGATCACCTGAGGTCAGGAGTTCGAGACCAGCCTGACCAACATGGTGAAAACTGTCTCTACTTAAAAAAATGTAAAAAATTAGCTGGGCATGGTGTTGCATGCCTATAGTCCCAGCTACTCAGGAGACTGAGGTAGGAGAATCACTTGAACCCAAGAGGCAGAGGTTGCAGTGAGCTGAGATCAAGTCACTGCACTCCAGCCTGGGCAACAGAGTGAGACTCTTCTCAAAAAAAGAAAGGGATAGAGAGACAGAAAGAGGAAAGGAAGGAGGGAGGGAAGGAGGGAGGGAGGGAGGGAAGCAAAGGAAGGAAGGAAGGAAGGAGGAAAGGAGGGAAGGCGAGAAGGCGGGAAGGAGGGAAGGGCCATGTCTAATCCCCATTTGAGCTGTCACTTTCAAATATGATAGAATGCTTAGGGTTAATACACATTGACAACAAATAATTTCTCTCAGTTAATGGCCTCCCTAACTGAAAAAAGTTTTCTGCCAGCTTCTAAATTAAGATTGGTTAATTTTGCCCAAAGTTTATTTATATTTCACAGAAATTATTTTTTTTCTTTTGTGGCTTTATCAATCTGCCATTTCTCTCCATTCTTCATTCTGCCAGCATTGCTCCTCCAAGCAGGATCTGCTTCCATTGCTTTTGGTTTTTCCAAAATTGTTTTGTTCCTATTCTTTAACTCTCTGTTTTGTGAGATTTTAATATTCCTGGTGATTACATACTGTCCAGCCAACCTTTCCCAATGGAACTTTTACAGAAATACTGTCCTGTTGGACTCCCAAATACAGCAATATCTTACTCATTTGGCTTTTGAGTCCCAGCTGTTGAGGGACATAAGAAGAATTCCCCAAGGTTCAGGCAAAAGAGAAATTCAATAGGACCATTCATCTAAGACAGATTATATTTTTCAGAGATGATCAAAAGAATAATTCCCACTCCACATGCCTTTTTTTTTTTTAACAATATGACTTCTGTTCTCTTTTCATAAAGAGGTGGAATCTAAACTCTCTTCCCTAGAATCTGGGTGGGCTTGTGACTTTGGAAGGAGTGATGCTGTGTGACTTCACTTAGGTGTGACTTAGGTGGATTGATAAAAAGTGATAAAGTTTCACTTCCATCAAGCTGTGAGGAAGACCAAACTGACTCATACAGAGATACTACATGGAGAGGCCACTGTATTTTTTTCCAGCTGACAGCCTAACTGAAGTCCCCGCCACAGCCAGCATCAACTGCAAAGACACCTCCAGATGACCACAACCCTAGCCATCAAGTCATTCCCAGTCTTCAAGCCTTCCCAGCTGAGGCCCAGATATCAGAGAAGGTAAACAAGCCATCTTTGCTGTGCTTTGTCCATATTCGTGATCTATAGAAACCATGAGGACAGTAAGATTGTTGTTTTATGCCACTAAGTTTTAGAGTGGTTTGTTACATAGCAAGAACAATAGAAATGGTATTCTATTTAGTTCCTCACAAATTGTGAGCAAGTATCCCAAGATAGGTACAAAGCCCAACTTTCTTCTAGTTCATATATAAGTTTCTTGTCATCCTGCGGAATCTCCCTGAATCAGAGCTTAAGCAGCCTTCATCTATTCTGATTTTGAGAATTTTATTTTTGGCACCCCAGAAGCCCCATTACTAATTTGGGACTTGGCATTCTAGTATTTCTGTCTCATTCATTTCTGGCCCGTTTCTTACATTATCTATAGTTTCTCATTCCATCCGCTTCCCCTGGGATTCACATTTTCTTGGGATGAGTGGTGGTGGGAATTTTACTTCCTCTAAAGAGACTCCAACCTATGCACAGGAGTGTGGCCTCACCTTCTGGTTTCAACAAGACAGTTATTTATCATTGACACCCAGTATCATAATTTTCTAAGTTATTCGGCCTGAACTTCAAGATAATAACAATATCTAAAATTTATGAAGATATTACTGTATGCCAAGTAGTGTGCTAAACTGTCTCTATACCCCTTTTGATCCTTAATCCTTTTAACAACCTTATAAAGTAACAACTATCCTCCTTCCTATTTTAAAATAAAGACAGTGAGGCAACATGCCTTGTATATGGTAGAGGGGAATTTGGATGTCAGCAGTATATCTCCAGAGCCTATGCTCTTTATTTTTTATTCAGAGGTAGGGTCTTGCAATATTGTCAAGGCTAGTCTTGAACTCCTGGCCTCAAGTGACTCCTCTCCCTGAGCCTCTCAAAGCACTGGGATTACAGACTTGAACCACCATGCCCAGCCAGAACCCATGCTCTTAACCACATGTCTCATGTCTAGAACATTAAGCAGGGGCATGCATTGAGCCAAGCCTAGTCATTTAAAAGACTATTGGATAAGGTGAAGATCTTACTTAAATGTTTCCCCTGCCTTTCTCTTCCTGACGACTTCCCATTTCTGCACATAAGGGTACACACATCTCCACAAGAAATAAGCAACTGCTTCTAGGTGAAGAACATCCAGTTTAATTTTGAGCAGAGAAAATAAACATTTCTCCCAAAGAAGCAACAAAGCCTGCAGATGCATAATTCTGGTTGCTAAACCTAGCTAGGACAATTTATATTTTAGCACAGTCACTTAGCATTTAGGCTAAAATATCTACTTTAGGTTGCATCACAGATCTTCCCAAGAACAATAGGCAAAAGCTTGCTTCATATCTGTATGACTTAAAGGGCCAGAGATTTAGCCCTCTGAAATAAAGATAGTCTGCCTCAAAGTGCCTTTTTGTAGGACAGAAACTGCTTACCATTCTTTAATAACAGTATTTTGCAATGTTTTAGTCACCAATGTAACTGAGCTGTGGCAGACTTCCTGGGAGCAGCCATAGCTCTTGCTCCAGGCCTGCTATTGAGACTGCATTCAGCACTTTGACATATCTCCAGCATAAGTCTACCTCTTCCATGCGTGGATGAGAAATGGATGTTTTACTGAAGATTCCATGTAGATAGTAGAAGAGGTTTTATATTGCAAAATCATATTTTAAAACTTAATAAAATTCCATTTAAATATGCTCTTTCCCCAATTTTCCATTATGGATAGCAGCTCTCTTGTCTCTTCAAAAATTTTCCCTGTTCTTCCATAATCATTCTCCAGATGAACATTTTTCTTCAGCCTCTCATCCCAAGTCATCTTCATCATCTTGCCCCCATCTCATAGTTCTCTCTCCAGTTTGCATTCTCCGACCCATCTCAGCACTTAGAAAAGGAGTCCCCTCTTTAGAAGAGGGAAGAGTGGTATACATAAAACATAATTTTTTCCATTCATAAATAATTTTGTTACACATATCTCCATTGTGGGAGCTTCTAAACGTCAACTTTTATATTGGTATTAAAATCTTTTTTTTAAATTACGAACTAAATTATACATGTGAAAAATAAATACAATCTATATATATGAATGAATAAAAAATAATAATGCACAAAACCAGTGTACTGTATTGTGCTGGATCAACTTGGTTAAGCTGGGAACAATGTTTCCCAGTATTCATTTACCCTGTGACTCAGGGTTAGGGTTGGCCCAAAAGAGAAATGTGCGTAAATATGGAAGATAGAAGTAGGCAGCAGCCATTATTCTCTGAAGGTCATTATAGTAAAATGTGATGGATGGACACAGAGTTTCCAAATGGGCTCCTACTTGTCCTGCTCTGCTTTCCTCCACTTTGTTAATACATCTTGTTCTTGACTGCTTACCCTGCTACAACTCCAAATATGGTTTCCTGGCTGAAGCAAAACAGCATACCCTCTGGCAGCTATCAATGTAGCAGATGCTTTTTTCTCAATGCCCATTAGTAAAGACCACCAGAAGCAGTTGTCTGACCCAGCAGATCCAATAGTTCTTGGAGCATCTTGACAGAGATGCATTATAAAGCACATGGCAAGCTTTCTGAGTGAATCATAATTCAGACTTTTTGGAATTTTGGAGCAAAATTATGTCCCCCTCTCCCAGTTGCTATGCGTCTTTTGAGATACAGCTTCTGACTTGCTACTGGACCCTAACAGAGACTAAATACTTTACCATGAACCAAGAAGTTAGCATACAATCTGAGCTGCCCATTGCAAAGTAGGTGATGTCAGACTCAACAAGCTATAATGTTGAGTGTGCACAGCAGCACTTCATCATTAAGTGGTGGTGAAATGCACAAGATCAGGCTCACCCAGGTCCTGAAGACATAAGTCAATTGCATCAACATATGTCTCAGATTCCTATGAATCCTACTTCTGCCTTGCCTCTCCTTTTTCAATCTGCACATATGGCTTCATGGGATGCTCCCTATGAACAGTTTGATTAAAGAAGAAAAAATAGTATCTTGTTTACAAATATTTCTACCAAATTTGCTGAAAGAAGCTGCATTGAATGCCCTATTTAGGTGTGGCCATGAAGGACAGTGTTGAAAGGAAACATTTCCAATGGGTAGTGCACTTATTTGGTTAATTTGCCTGGAAGGAGAGAAGACTAAAGTATGGATCTATTAATCCATGAGATGTGACTAATGGTTTGGTTAATTGGTTATGAACTTAGTTGGAAGAAAGATGGTTGTAAAAATGGAGGCAATGAGGTCTGGAAAAGAGATATGGGGGTAGACCTCTCTAAATGATTACAAAATATGACAATATTTGTATCTGAGGTGAAAGCTCACCAAAGTGTGGCCTTACAATAGAAGGATCTTACCAATAAGATAGACAAGATGACCTGTTTTGTAGATGTTGGTCATCCTCTTTCCCCAGTCATTCTTGTCCTTGCCCAATGCACTCATAAATAAAAGGCTGTGGCTGTAGGGACAAAGGTTATCCAGCAACACAGACTTTCTCACACCAAAGCCAGTCTGGTTACCTCCATGGCTGAGTCTCCAACTGTGATTAGCAAACACCAACGCCAACTGGAGATACAGCACCTTTTTTCAGGCCACCTAGTTCAGGCTGATTATGTTGGACCATTTCTACTTGGAAGAGGAAATGCATTGTGCTTATTGAATCCTTTATTTGTCATCATAGTATCTCATACAGCATTGTTTCTGCACTCATTTTATAGAGAATGAGCCCAGTGCCAGTTTTTATCTAACCTGGGAGAATAGTCTTCTCCCTACCTAGAAGAAGATGTTTTTTTTTTAGAGATGGGGGTCTCCCTTTGTTGCCCAGGTTGGTCTCAAATCTGGCCTCAAGCAATCCTCCCACCTCAGCCATACCTGGAATTAGACAGGCATACTCCAGTACCAGTGCTGATAGATTTTTGCAATGCCTTTAAAAGACTTAATTGAGTGCCAGATGAGTGACAAAACTCATTTGTTGCATCAATTTATCTAGAGGCATGGTTTTGTAATTGTTTTTATTTGGAAATTAAATATGGTTCAAGACGTGTATGTGAATACCAAGTTGACAAGTGGTGGATTGTGCAGGATTGTGTTATGTCAACATGGATAAACTGAGAACTAAATTTCCTAGAATCCCATTTTTTTATATGATTGCCCAAGAGAGGAACTTGTGTTAGTTTTGAAAGGCAAAAGTGAAGCTGTTGTCATTACTGTCTTAAGGTTGCTGTAGTCAGATGTGGTGATGGACAGATTCAGAGGTGCCCAGTGGGTCCATCTTATTGTTTCTCTCCCATTTGCATGTAAACATGTCTTTTCCATCTTTAAAAAATCTCACCTTTAAACTCATGTCTCCTCCTATATTACCTTCTTTTCTTTCATGCTAGCTGTGTTCATTTTCATTTTTCTGCTCTATCCTCTGCTATGGGTCTCTGCCACCTCCTTCCCCTTAAAATTGTTCTCACCATTCTTCCCCCATACTCATTATTTCTGTATGTCTATTACTATCATATGCTGATGGCTCTCAAGAATATGTCTACTGGCAGGGCTCAGTGTCTCACACATGTTATCTCAGCACTTTGGGAGACCAAGGCAGGCAGATGACTTGAACTCAGGAGTTGGAGACCAGCCTGGGCCACATGATGAAACCTCATCTTTATAAAAAATTTAAAAATTGGGCCGGGCACAATAGCTAACCCCTGTAATACCAGCACTTTGGGAGGCCGAGGTTGGGGGGATTACGAAGTCAAGGGATCAAGGCTATCCTGGCCAACATGGTGAAACCCCATCTCTACTGAAAATACAAAAATTAGCTAGGTGAGGTGGCGGGTGCCTGTAGTCCTAGCTACTTGGGAGGCTGAGGGCAGCAGAATCGCTTGAACCCAGGAGGCAGAGGTTGCAGTGAGCCAAGATCATGCCACTGCACTCCAGCCTGGAGACAGAATGGATTCCATCCAAAAAAAGAAAAATTTAGGCAGGTGGTTACATGTGCCTGTGGTCCCAGCTACACAGGAG